TCCGCTTGGGGGTGGGGGCTGGCAGAGTCTGGAAGCAGCATGTTTGAGGAAGGGGGGACTCCTATGAAAAGCCCCCACCAGCAAGGTCACAGTTTACAGCAGCAACTCCTAGTAGGTCCCTAGACTTCCATTGGGGGAGCTAACCAGTTTCTTGCACCCCTGTGTTCAGTGGGCCGGGGCTGAGCGGGAAGAATGTCCAGGGTGGCTCTGGGGGGCCCATCTCTGGCAGAGTAGGGGTGGCAGGAACTCTGTGTGGGGGTTGCCTGGGGAAAGTCCTCAGTGCGATTCCTGCAGCAACCTGAGATGCTTAGGCTGGGAAGTCCCACCCTGAGGCCTTCGAGAGCTCCTGCCAGGCTGAATAACCGTGATCTTTTCCCCCTCCCTTCCACCCCCAGCATCCAACTTGGGGCTCATTCTGGGCATCGTTGGGGCTCTTCTGGCTGCTCTCATCCTGGTGGGGGCCGCCGGGGTCGCCTTCTACATGCGTAAGTAAACAGTGTGTGTGTGTGTGTGTGTGTGTGTGTGTGTGTGTGGTTCTTGTGGTGGATCTCTCCTGAGGGTGGTGGGGGTGGCACAGGGCCCCTGGCAGGGGCAGATGGTTCTCATACATCCGGTGGTGCCCACAACCCCCTCCCCACATAATGGCATTTTGAACCTGGACTGGCAAGTCTCTATTTATTTGTTAGTTTATTTTAAAATACTCCCAGCTCACCTTTCTCTCGCAAGGGGTGGGACGGGACAACCCACATGGGCAGCTTCTCAGAAAAGTCGTCCCAAAGAGATAAACCGGCACTAAAATCTCCCATCCAACATGTCAAGAGTGGGGCAGCTCACAGGCCTCCAGGGGAAGAGGGGAGGGGAGAGGAAGGCCCCCCCAAAACATCTGGTCTCCCCCAGCCCTGCCTGGGAGGATTCTCCTCTGGCCTGAAGGCCCTCTTATTCCCCCCCCCCATGCGCTAGAGGCAGGGGGGCTCTGCACAAGAGAGTGAAATAACCCTTTCATGACGAACCCACAGAATCCACATTCCAGGGTGGTGGGGGACAAGCGGGGTCATCTTGTCTCCTGGCCGGATTTTCACTCAGGACTTAAGCCCACTGGGAATTAATTGAGCCCCTCTGACTTCAGTGGGATGCCTCTTACGTAAATGCATCTCTGATTTTAAAGAGCCATTGCCCTTCGATGTCACAATCCTAGGGACCCAGGCCTGTCTGCTCCCCTCCCTTTTCTTGGGCATCTCTACACAGGGTCAGGTCTCGTTCCCGGTGTGTGTGGGGGGTGTCTAGTTGTGACTCCCTCCGCTCTGATGCTTGGCTGAATGAGAGGCATTCCCGTTCTCTCTCTAACCATGAGTAGCTAGGGGAAGCTTTTCTTGTTTAAAAGGGAATTGGAGGAGTATCTGCGGGGGGGTGGGGAGTGGGGGTTGGGAACCCAAGAGGCTGGCTTCACTGCAGGGTGTGTGTGGATGGATGGCCTCTGGGTGTCCCTTCCTGCTCTGACTTCCTGGTTCTCTCTCTGCAGGAAAACAACTGAAGAGCTACGAAGCAGCATCAGGTGAGTTTGTGTCCCTTCCTCTCTGGGAGGTTCCTTCAACACAGGAAATGGGGGAAGGGAGCGGGGTCTGTTGAAGGATCAGCTGACTGACCCACAGCCCCCCCCCTCCCCACTGGTGTGGTCCTGGGGTGTGAAGGGAGCGCCTTAGTTCATATACAGCCGGGAGGCTTCACAGTTACAGAGAGACTCACCTGATCCAAGGAGATCCTCCGGAGAGCTGGTCTGAAGGCCGAATTACACGAGAAATGGGAATAAAAGCATTTGAGAGTTCTCTGTCGTGCCTCTCCACTAGGGATGTGCAAAAAAAAAATTGTGGGTTTTTTTTTATTCGGGTGAGGCTGGGGGAGAAGGGGATTTAGAAAGAAAAGAGGACCTTGTGGAATGCCCAAACATATTAGAATGACCTCTGGCTGCAGGTCCTGAGTAAGTCGAATTCTTCTGCAGGAATCTCTGTCCTGTTCTCTGTTCACATGAAGCTCTGCCTTATAGTGAAGCAGGCCATAGGTCCATCCAGGTCAACACTGCCCACTCTGACTGGCAGCGGCTCTCCAGGGTCTCCGGCAGAGGCCTTTCACATCACCTGCCCTCTGATCCTGAACGGGAGAACCTGGGACGGGTTCCGCCTGCCAAGCGGAGGCTCTGCCACTGAGCCTCAGCAGCCCCTCCCCACCCCTCGGTACTTCATTGGATCCCATTTACCTGGGTCAAATTATCTGTTTTGTTGGGGATTCAGGATCAGATCTTCTGCGGTGTACGCTTATTTTAAGCAAGAGGGGGTGCTATTCTGAAGTGTTTGGAGGGCCTTCTCCAGAATTAAATGATATTAATCCTCCCCCCCTTCCCCCCGCTTTTGCAGAAAGTGACCAGGGGTCGGACACCTCCACCAGGGGTAAGTGTGTGACGGGAAGGGGGGGGCTGTCAGATGGTACCCAGTCTCGGAAATGGGGGGCCCATGTGGGGATCCTTGCCCAGATTTTAATGTGGTTTCTGTGTGCTATCTCAATCCTGTTCCTTACATCTACAGCCATGGCCCTGGCTAGCTTTATCTTGTCAGATCTTAGAGGAGGGTCTCCTTCCCCTCTGACTTTGCTCAGGGACTTCCTGACAGGCCTCTTGGGGAAGGGATTTCTACACTGGGGGTTAGTGCCCCAGTAGATTTCCTGTCTTCCCCTGAAGTCCGTCGCTTGAGTGGCCAGTTGGAGGCCTTTGCGCGATGGGTCCCTCGGCATGGCACCCTGCTGTCTGCTTGTGGCCTAATCTGAATGGGGGGGCATGGTTGAGATGGCCCCCACCTTAGCGAAACACTAGCTTGGATGGTCTTTGTGTCTCCCCCCACCCCAGCTCTGGTTTTGATGCAAGTTGACAGTTCCACGGTAGATTCAGTTAAGACTCATTTTGTCTCTTTTTTAGTTTCTGAACCTGAAGTGTAAGAAGAGAGCAAAGAGAATCTACTCAGGAGATCCTGGGGATTTGCTATCCCACGCAAAGAGCTTCTGCCGCCTTCAACTCTTGTTTGTTCTGCCACCGAATCTTCTCTCTGGCAGCAGCTTTTGGTTTCCAATCTCTATTGCTTGGATTTTGAGGGATTTTTTCCCCTAATGGACTTGGGTTGATTTTGCCCTGGCATTTGAGCCGCTAGTATTAATGGGAAATGAACTGAAATATTTGGAGCCAGTGCAAATCTTTTTTTAAAAGATAAATTCATTTATAGTCTTTCCCTAATGTGGTATATAATCTGCAGTGATTTCGATGCTGTCTGGGGCTTAGGGGTTGCTGCGTGCCTTCGTCCTCCGATGCACTGTCCCTTTCTGCCTTTAAAGTAATAATTGGGCATGAATTGTTGCGTCTACTTGAAATAAAATGGGCCAGAGTTTGGGCTACTTCCTAAAAGCTTTTGGTTGAGATGCTGTGATGTCATAGAATGTTCACAAGAATTTTAGCGTTCAGGCTGGACGTGTTCTTTGCAGAAAAAGAAGATTGTAATGTATGCATAAGTAAGGAAAAGTCACTTTAGTGAGGTGAGGTGAGGAATTCCACACTGAGGGGCCGAAGAGGAGAATGGCAGCTGGAAGGGAGGGTGGTACCAAGAAGCGCCGATTTTGCAGCCAGGGCCTAGTGGGGGCGACAGAGCCATCGTCTCTCAGGAACTACCTCCATGATCCAGGCTCCAGTTCCACACTAGATGAGATGCCCAGGGGAGGGTGTGTGTGTGTGTGTGTGAGTTACGGCTGCCAATAAACTTCTGCATCTTCACACTGTAATAGATTTCATCCTTCCCTGACTAGAGTGTTTTCTGCATTTTGCCTTGAACATTATAGATGTAAATTTTCCCCCTCCGTAAAGATCCGTTTTGTTAAAATAAAGAGCTTGTGGACTCCCCACCCCATTCCTTTCTCTGGTGTTTCCTTTCCTGATCGCACACACATTCTTGAGAATATTTAGGGTTTGCAGGCTCCGAGGGCATCCAGAGATCATCTCCTTCCAATGCCTTTTAAAGGAAATGTCACACTGAGTGATTGTCATTATCTCATTGACAGTCCGCCTGGGACTCAGGGTGGATTACTAGTATGATAGAAAACTTTCCAGTCAGTCAATAAACAGATTACAAGGACGGGAAGGGTGAGTTCATTTATTCTGTCTTTCCCCCATCAATCAAAAAGGGCTCTGAGCAGCTTAAAAAAACAGTGGCTACCAAAAAATAATCACAACTGAAAAGAGAAGAGAAGAAGAAGAGACTGGATTTATACCCCACCCTTCACTACCCAAAGGAGTCTCAGAGCGGCTTACAAACTCCTTTCCCTTCCCCTCCCCACAACAGACACCCTGTGAGGTAGAAGAAGAAGAGGAAGAGATTCGATTTATACCCTACCCTTCACTACCCAGAGGAGTCTCAGATCGGCTTACAAACTCCTTTCCCTTCCCCTCCCCACAACAGACACCCTGGGAGGTAGGTGGGGCTGAGAGAGCTCTTGACAGAAACTGCTCTTTTTCAAGGACAACTCTTATCAGAACTACGGCTTGCCCAAGGTCATCCAGTCAGGTGCAAGTGGAGGCGTGGGGAATCAAACCCGGCTCTCCCAGATTAGAGTCCGCGCACTTCACCACAACACCAAACTGGCACCAAACAAATGAAGCCCAAAGACTAACATCTCCCAGGCCTAGAAGAAAGGATCCCGGCTTCCCAGCATGGAATCTCACCCCCCCCCCCGCCCCCAAGCTATCTCCCCCTCCCTCCCTTGCACACAGCTAGACATTTACCATTTTTGGTGAAGAGGCGACATTCTTCCCGGGTCATTCCAGGTTTTTAGGCAGAATCAATGTAGCCATAAATGGAAGTGCTGCCCGATCCACCGATGGCTATCCGCTGCCAGGTTAGCATCCCCCCATTGTCCCATGAACCTGTTGGGATGGAAGGTTGCAGAAAAGGTGGTGAGGCGTGTTAGGCCGGGTCAGAATGGAAAACTCATCTGAAGAGCAAGGCTGTATAAGGCAATGAGTGAGCTCTATCCACCACGCATAGTCCATATGGGGAGGATGAAGATGGAGTATGGTTATGAAGATGAATGAAGCCCACCGACCAAGGGAAACACTCAAGGCGTACCTTAACTTGACAGGAAGCCCAACCCCTTGTCCACTTCCTGCATCTTTGGGGCGATCTCAGTGAATAAGCTTCTGGTCTCGGCAAAGGGAGCCCATGCGTTGTAGGGCTTTAGAGTGTCAGACTAAGATCTCGGAGACCCAGGTTAAAATCCCTCACACCCTGCCATGGAGGCTCGCTGGGTGACCTTGGGCCAGTCACCCTCTCACAGCCTAACCTGCATCACAGAGTTATTGTGAGGATAACATGGAGATGATGCAAGCCACTGTGGGTCCTCCCCATTGGGGAGGAAGGCCAGATATAAATGAAGCAAAAAAATCCTGGGGGCCGACCTGATCTGATGAGCTTCCAGTCTCAGAAAAGACCTGCTAGGTCAAAAGGGCCCAGGATGATCCAGGAGCCGTGCAGAATCCCTTTATGTAAGGGGGGTGGGGTGGGAGGGAGGGAGAGAGGATTGCATGCAAACAAGGCATGGGTGGGAGATGGTGGGAGTGACCCTCGCAGAGCCTCTCCACACCTGGTGTCACCCCCCCTCCCAACACCGGATTCACCTGCCCTCCTCGCTTGGGGTCCCACCCTGCCACCATGAGGTGGGTGGAGAGCTCCTCCTTGTATTTGTAGCCATGGCCAAAACCAGCGGCTTCTCACCCATGTTCAGGTATCCAGGGAGACAAAATCCAAATGAGGCAAACCCCATGCTTTCCTTTAAATCATGTGGGAGACACAACGGCGCAAATTGGGCAATTTTGTCACTCAATTAAATAAAAATAGCCACCAGGGTTGTTTTCCTCACATTTGGGCTTGTGTCCTTCTGGCCAGTGTTGGCCTGTCTAGACTTCTACCCGGCAGGTCCCTGCCGTCCCTCAGGCAAAAGCCTCTCCCCTTTCATTTTCTCTTCTGCAAACAGAAAAGGAGACCGGCACAGACTAGAGTTGGCAGCCTCTTGGTGGGAAGAAGCAAACAACCATGATGTATTATGCCAAAAAAGTCTCCAAAGACTAGAAATTTCTTTTTCTAATATTCAGTTTACTGGAAGCAATTCAAACACCATCAGTACCAATGAACCATGCATATCATATCTCATGTTGTGTATAACTTTATCAAAGTGGGTTGCGTTGAAATACAAAATTAATCCATTTGATGAACTCCCTAGTACAGTGATGGCGAACCTTTTAGAGACTGAGTGCCCAAACTGCGACCCAAAGCCCACTTATTTATCGCACAGTGCCAACACGGCAATTTAACCTGGATACTGAGGGTTTACTTTAGAAAAAACAACTAATTATTCTTTGTATTATTATTATTATGATTACTATGATTATTATTATTATTATTATTATTTATTCTTTGGATTTATATCCCGCCCTCCCCGAAGGCTCATTAACTTAAGATGACCCAAACGAAGTAAGGAAAGCAATCCCAAATGCTTTCATTTACTTAAAATTATTTGGCAGAGAATTCGACACTTTAATGATGGTCTGGGTCTGGCTGGGGCGATGGCACACGTGCCCACAGAGAGGGCTCTGAGTGCCACGTCTGGCACCTGTGCCATAGGTTCGCCACCACTGCTCTAGTAGTCTCAGTGGCAGAGTAGAGTTGCCAACCTCCTGGTGGGGCCTGGATATCGCTACCAAATTACAACTGATCTCCAGGGGACAGAGATCAGTGTCCCTGGAGAAAAATGGCTGCTTTGGAGTGTGAACTCTATGGTATTATACCCTGCAAAAGTCTCTCCACACCCTCCCCAGGCCGCACCCTCAAAATCTCCAGGAATTTCCTAACCCTGAGTTGGCAACCCTAGCAGAGACTGATGTTTAATGTGCCAATCTCATCAGCAACAGCCAGGCCATGTGCTTTTGAACACTTGGCCAACACTTCTGGGAAAACGTCTAGGTCCCTCCAAACTGCATTTATTGAGACAGGGCCCCAAAAGCTGCCTTCATAATTAAAACTTTGAGGCTCAAGAGATCACCCACTTAACCAGATACTTGATGCCCACCTATTTGCACCTCAGATTTTGTTTCCAGCCCGGCCTTCAAGGATGTTAAAAATGTGATTATATCCCTTTTGATCATTACAAACAAACACTCTGCAAGGTGCACAATTGCCAGTGGGCCTGGAGGCAAATGTCCTGTCCCTCTAACAGGGGCTAAAAGTATAAAAAGGGGCAGTTGGATTTTTTTTTTGAGGTAAATGACATCCCAGCAAGCCTCTCCAGGCCTGTTGGCAACCCCTTGTGTGAGGGACAGGAGAAGGTTCCGCCCTCTGCTCTCTCCCTGTTCAGAATCAACCAATCAGATTTGAAAAGTGAATGAAACTCGGAAGTAACGGTGTGGGGGTGTGTGTCTGAGGCAGTTTAACTGTCAACGGACAAAAATGGCGGTTGGGTTTTGGAGGGAGAAGGAAGAGGAGGTATCCTGGACCAGGCAGGGCGTCCAGTAGGACTGTTATCATTCAGCAGGCCGTGTTTGGGTGCTGTTCCCAGATAAAAAGACGCTGAAATTCTGCAAGCTGTCTAGTTAACACTTTTTATGTTAAAAGCTGCTGAAAGAATAAACATGGTGACGCTTTAAAGCACCTCCCAGCTCTGGTAGCCAATGCCCCCTCTAAGCTGTGGAGTCCTGTGAGCAAAAATTCTACTTTGTGACCTACTGGGCATTAAAGTTGTGAGCGAGCGATTTGGCCGCTGCATAAATCCGTTTGCTCTGGAGCCCTCCCTTCCTGAGCTAAGACAATAATGTGTGAGCTGGAGGCTAAAAAAACTGTGAGCTAGCTCACACTAACCCAGCTTAGAGGGAGCACTGCTGGTAACTGTGTCAGCTAGCAGGCTGGAGCGGGAAGGAAGTGACTCTTTCTAACCCAATATAAACCTATTTGTTTAAATGTTCGTTTAAAACATTTCTATGCCACCTGTCTACCCAACTCAGGGTCTCCAAGGCGGCAAACATTAAAAAAATTTAAGACATTTGAACAATTAAAAATACATCTTAAATTATAAAATAATTCAATGACACATGGAAACATAGAGCTGGAAGGGACCCGAAGGGTCATCTCTCCTCTCTCCCTTATAATAAAAGAGTAGTGGGTGC